CCCCAAAGCAATTTAATGTTCTCATATTCCCTGGCATTACTGACTTGAAACTGTCAGCAACAAAATTCTCTGACCTAATTCCCTTGGTAATAAATCCATTTAAGAAAGAGTATAACCACGATGGGTGGAGAAGGGAAGGGATGGGTAAGGGAAACAAAGGAGGAGGCAACAATGCTTGATAAGAAATGTACTCACTATCTTGCCCTTGTAATTGTAACCCCTCTGTATGGTATTTTCACAACAAAAACAAAAAGATAATTAAAAAAAAGAGTATAACCAAGGGTCAAAAGGAATGAATACCACATAGAGAGGCCAAAAAGAATCTGGACATTATATTCGTTTATTACCATCATTTCTACAGGGCTATCTATTCTTCCCAGAACAGGAACATAAAAAGGCAGTTTACCTAATGGGTCACACATGCAATCCTACCTGCTTAGAAGGCCGAAATCTTAGGTTCATTATTCACTGCTGCTAGCATACTCCAAAAACGTGAGACTCTCAGATCCAATTAACAAGCAAAAAGCAGAGGGGCTATTGCTCAAGTGGTAGTATACTAGTCTTGAGTCAAAAAGTTCAAGGACAGGAGCTGGCATGCATGAGGCCCTGGGTTCGATTCCTCAGCACCACATAAGCAAAAAGAAAAAAAAAAGTTCAAGGACAGTGTCTAGGCCCAGAGCTCAAGTGACAGGACCAGAATAAAAACTAAGAAACAGACAAAAAAAAAAAAAGACGTAGAATATAGTTTTATTTAGGTTTCTGACCTTTACAAATGTCTTCCAAAACAATGATCAGTGAAAATTTTCATTGTCTTTATTAACCTGTCTTTTGTTATATGGATGTCAGCAAAGAACATGACCATTTATAATGGGTGAGCAAAGAGATCATGTAATTTAAAACAATGAATAAACCAATAGGGTTATCTAATGGAAATGATAGCTAAAAGAAACTTAATTCCATTTTTCCCCAAATCTTCTCCACTCCACTTAACCATGACAACTATTAACATTGAAAATATAAAGATATTTTTATTTGCAAAGGTGTACTTATACATTCTTGTTTCAATTTTATACTTTTGCCCAAACTTTAGGATGGCAATTTTTTTTTGGGGGGGGGAGGCGGGGGGTAGACTAGCACTCTACCACTCGAACCACAACAGCCCCACTTCCGGCTTTTTTCTTTTTGCTTATGTGGTGCTGAGGAATCGAACCCAGGGCCTCAGGCATGCAAGGCAAGCACTCTATGACTGAACCACCTTCCCATCCCAGCCCCTAGGATGGCATATTTCAATAAGCAAGGGAATGAACCTCAAAGAAGAAGATTATGTAAGGAACTAAATCTTTATAACCCTGTCTTTCTCATACATAAAAGCAAGTGGAAATAAGTATAATCAGCTTCATTCCATGCAATAATGTAAACCAATTGATCATATCTTAAAAAATCACACAGAAACAGCATAGGAAGAAACAAGGCATATCAACTATGGATTTATTAATTAATGAGAGGAAATACTGTCATCCAATTTTTCAGAAGATAATTATGCAAAAGACATGTAACTAGATTTTTGAATTAGATTACTGTCACCAATGTGAACAGAAGATATTATTATAAAAAAGATACTATGGGGGGGGAGGGGGGAGGCTGGGAAGGGATGTGAAGGGTAAACAAAGGAGGAGGCTGCAATGCTTGGTAAGAAATGTACGCATTATCCTGCCCATGTAATTGTAACTCCTCTGTACAGTAAGTTCACAAATAAAATTAAATTAAATTTAAAAAGAAGATACTATGTTTTCCCATAAACAAACACAATGGTGGAACAGTGACCATTGTAAAGAATACTTTTGTTTTTTGAGAATGGCCAGAATTTAGGAACAAGAGAGTGGCAAATTAAGGAAAGAATAAAGTCATTCTTACTTTGATAGCCAAAATGGGAAGAGAAAAATAGATTCAAGAGGAATCCCTTAAAATACCAACCTGAATTTTTTTGATGACTGAAGGATGTACCTAATTAAGATTTTTGATCTGCCAGCTCCAGTTCAAAAGAACCAATCTATAACCAAGTATACAGGGAAGTTAGAAAGTACAAGCTGGTCCAAAACAATGTTATTGTTTCAAATATAAGCAATACAAAGTACTCAGCCATCAATAAGTCTTAAAAGGGACAAGAAAATCTGACACCTTTTCTATTACAGGTAAGAAGCAGTATGAGGAAGATAGGTTAATTTAGTTACTGAGAAAAAGTATTCCTTTCAGGTTATTGCATCTCCTAAAGCACAATTTCCTTAAGTATAAAATAAGCATTTTAAGTACACCTAATGCCAGTACTCTATAAAAAGGCCAAAGTTTAGCAGCAATATAACAAGTATTTACAAACATTAAATGACTAGAGGAACTAAAACAGTGGGCCCCACCAATAATCCCATGTACTAGGGAGATAGATAAGGAAGATCTCAATTGAAGTCGAACATACAGAAAAAGTTAATGTAACCCCTATCTCAACAAGCTGGTTCAATCTGCCATGCCAATTATTGAGGATTGTTAATAACAGCTCTTGTGTAAGCTGGCCAGGTCAAAACAACCCAAAAGTAACTAAAGCAAACTGGGCTAGGGATATGGTTCAAGTGGCATTGCTTCCCTAGAAAAGGTCAAAAGCTTCTACCACAAAAAAAAAAAAAAAAGGATTAAGTTTGATTACCGTTACTGACCTTGACACCTTATCTTCAGTGAAAGCCTGGCCCAGATCTTTCCCTTTCTGCCTTCTCGGTGATTGATTCAAGCTCTTAGTTTATTTTGTTTTGGGTTTTCTTTTTGTTTGTTCCTCATTCCTGAGGCTTGAGCTCTGGGCCTGGAGGCTGTCCCTGAGTTTTTTTTGCTCAAGGATAGCACTCTACCACTTAAGCCACAGTGTCACTTCTGGCTTTTTCTGTTTCTGTGGTACTGAGGAATCAGACCCAAGGCTTCTTGCATGCTAAGCAAGCTACAATTAAGCCACAGTCAAAACCCTAAATCTCTTATTTTTAAGAGGATTTTTGGCAATTTCACATTTCTCTATTTATCCACATCTCCTTTTCAACAAAGCAATTCTCACTGAACCTTTTTATCTTCTTTAGAAAGGAAAATTATGAGATGTATCTCTGGCTTTGGAAAAAACAGAACTGTTTTGAAAAAGAAAATTAAAAATGTTTTGGCTTTTGTTTTTTATTAGGATCCAGGCCCTGGTGGCTCATTCTTATAATTTGAGCTACTCTGAAGGCTAAGATCTGAGGATTGCTGTTTATAGTCACTCTGGGGCAATAAAGTCCTTGAGACTCTTGAACTCCAAGTGAACACAAAAAATTATGAAGTGGAAGCATGACACAAGTGGTAGAGCAATAACATTGAGCAGAAATGCGATGGGACCACATCCAGGTTGAATTCAAGCCTGATACATGTGAGCACACACACACACACACAAAGCTTGGTATGTAAAATTGAAAGTTATTAGCTGTTGAAAGGGATATAATAGTGTTCTAAACAAAGAAATAAATCAACAGCCATTTCAATCTTGAGGTTCAGGGCTTCAAGACTTGTGTTGTGGATTTGGTGCTATCATTGTTATTGTTGGCAACATTAGAATTTTAACTCAGGCAGGGTATAGAATTATAAAAGGCAGGTGCACTACCGCTAAAGCTATGACTCTAGTCCTCTTTAAATAAAGGTTTAAGTACATAGACTACGTGTAAAAGATAAGACAGGCAGTAACATCAAAACACTTCCAATTTTTCAAGTACATATAGTCATATGTATGTATTTCTTTGGTAGCATATTAAAGCCCAGCAGTAGGAATAAAAATGTCAGTTTGAAGAACACCACTTCAAAATCCTGCGACTGATGTTAACTCACTACTGAATTGCATTTTAGATGTACTTTTTGCTCTTACATCCACAGTTCGTGTTTTCAGTACTTATCACCAAGATGAAGTACTATCCAACAAAGAGTAAATATAAATATGTGCAGCGATAAAATGCTAGACCACCCAGACTAAATCCTTGTTCCTACAGCTTTCTTTGTCCAACTTAGGTGCCACTGGCAAACCATGCAGCATTGTCAAAAGCTTGGTTTCCCTCTCGTGTACTGACCTAATAGGTAAGTGGGGACAGAAATCCCCGGCTCCCTAAAACCATGTAAATAATCTATGAAGAAATATGGATGGAAGAGTAAATATGAAAAATGGACAAAGAGCTGGAGGCACAACGCGCCGACTTCGAGCCAGGCCAGCATTCCAGGGCAGCGAGTTCGAACCCCGGTATTGCGGGTGGGAAAGAATCGCCGCCAAAGATGTCCTTTGTCTAGCACAGTACCTTGGAATTCCGGAAGGGGGTGGAGGAGGAATATAGATTCGAGTACAAAGACAATTAAAAAGGAATTGCCGAAAAGAATTCCTCCTTTAACTGGTCGTTAGGGGAGGGAGAATGCTGCGCCGTGAATGGCTGCCTGCACACGTAAGCAAATTTTAATATGTCAATCTGTGATTGGTTGGGCACTCCCTCTTCATAAAAAATAAAAAATAAAAAGAACGTCCAAAGGTATGTCATGATTGGGTAAATCTCAACCGAGTCACTAACACACAAACCCCAGGCCAATGGGAAAGCGAATCTTACGACACCGGCCGAGCCTATAATAAAATTCCCGGATTGGCTTACCCAGAGTCGACTCTTTTAAGGTTTTAGGCGCGAAAAACAAGGACGTAAACGCCCTCTTCTCCCAGCACCAGTTCTCCACGAGCGTTCATGCTCCGCCCCTCCTCAGCTAGGGACTTGGGCAGCCTCAGATCAAAGCCCAAACACGCAGCGCAGCTCAAAATGGCACTTGAAAAAAAGGGAAAAGAAAATAGGTCCGCTAGGACCAGCATGAAAGACACCGTAGGGAACGCATACACATAAACCCTTTAAATTATAGAATAAGGGTTGTTGCATCTGACACCTCAGAGCCCCAACCTGAAAAGCCCACTATAACTCGGCTTTAAATTGTCACCCAAAGCTCAGCTCTTTTGAATTGAATGTGTGGGTGGCTCTGAAAAGAGCCGTTGAGATTTTCACAGCAGGGCGTCCTACCACAACCTTACTTCTTCTTCGGAGCGGTCTTCTTGGCCTTCGTGGCCTTGGGTTTGGCAGCTTTAGGCTTGGCAGCCTTAGGCTTAGGGGCTTTCGCCTTTGCAGGACTCTTGGCAGGCTTCTTTGGCTTGGCTGCCTTCACCTTTTTCGGGCTCTTGGCAACTTTCTTGGCCCCAGCAGCCGCTGCAGGCTTCTTCGCCTTCTTAGGGGTCTTCTTGGCGCTCTTTTTAGGAGTGGCGGAGCCAGTCGCCTTCTTCGGCTTCTTGGCTGCGCCGGCAGGCTTCTTAGGCTTAGCCGCGCCCGCCTTCTTGGCCTTGGGCTTGGCCTCCCCGGAGGCCGCCTTTTTGTTGAGCTTGAAGGAGCCGGAGGCGCCGGTGCCCTTGGTCTGCACCAGGGTGCCTTTGCTCACCAGGCTCTTCAGACCCAGCTTGATGCGGCTGTTGTTCTTCTCCACGTCGTAGCCGGCTGCCGCGAGCGCCTTCTTGAGCGCGGCCAGAGACACCCCGTTGCGCTCTTTGGAGGCGGCCACAGCTTTGGTGATGAGCTCGGACACCGGGGGTCCGGTCGCCTTGCGCTTCCCAGCGGCAGCGCCAGCTTTCTTCGCCTTCTTCTTCGCAGGTGTCTTCTCCGCAGGTGCGGGGGCTGCGGGAGCAACAGGAGCAGTCTCCGACATCTTTCTGCCTCGTAAGAAGAGCCAAAAGTAAGCTCAAACTGTGAGAATGGCTTGTCCCCTGCGCGGAAGGCTCTGGGTTTATATAGAGAGACGCTGAGTGATGATTGGTTCCCTGCTCCAAGCACTGCGCGGCTGGAAAAGGACTCCTCGGCTCTGCCTTGTGACTGTGTTTGTTGCCACTTAAAAAAGAATAAAAATATTAAAAATCTACGAACGAAATAACTAGGAACTTGTGGAAAACTGATCCGAGAGGGTTTAGGCTTCATAGTTGCCTTACTTTCTACACCTAGCATCAAAACTGGCATTCTGAAACTTCCCTGATTCCCCCAACTCTCTTTCAAACTTCGGTCAGATTCAGACAACTTTCGGGTTTTCCTTAAAAATACAATTTCTCCGGGTTTCATTTGCAACTGCTTTTATCACGGCATTGTTCTGCGCATTCTTATCTTCCCAAAATCATATAAATAAACTTCATTTTACTCAAGTGATTAGGAAAATTAAGTTTTTTCGCAGGAGCAATAGCACAGACTCACCCTCGAGCTGTTTGCACCGATCTAGGAATTGGCACTGGAATAGAATGCTGTATATACAGCAAGGATGATTATTTATTAAAAGAACAATATATTTTTAAAATATTTGAGATGCCAAAATGTAAATTGGGTTGATTCGCGTGTTTTAGTGATTTAAACTTATTCAAGAAGATGGGGCTAAAACTGTTCCATTCTACTTCTAAGGAGTTCTAAGCAGATTTTTCAAACCTAGAATAGATATGAGTGAACAAAAAAAAAGGAAAAAAGAAAGCGCAACTGACGATTAATAGAATAGCATGATATATTTTATTAGATGTATAATAAAAATATTGACATAGCATTCATCTTCATGTCCAATTTTCTTAATATTGTAACGACTGACGCCTTGTTTTAAGGCTTTTGCTCTCTTATATGAACATATCTGTATATTTCCTATATTTCAAGATTGTAATTCAAATCTTAACGCTGCAAAACTGACCATAAGGAAAAAAAAATCTATTTCTGAAAGTTGATATCACTGAGCTTACTACGCTATAATGTGTGTACCCAATGACCTGAATGAAATTTGAAGGCAAACACGAGTGACCATTAATGATCTCATTCATCTTATGTTACAACACTCCTGATAAAATTGTGAATTGTTATATAATTAAGCAAAAAAGTAATAGTGTCTAAGCAAATACAAAAATGATGCCCTATATTTCTTACAATGAACAAGAAATGTATTTTGTTGTTTCCTTAAGCAATTACTCATTTTTCCAAGCAACCATTCTGGCTTTATTCCAAACAATCATTTATGGCTCAATGATTACTTGAGGCTTTTTTTCACATAATTGAAGGCAGGTTGATCAACTTCTACCATATCATTTTTCCAAAAATGTACTAATTCCACAGAAGCAACTTCACTTAAACAATTATTTATTGGGTGACAAGACTGGAAGCAGTGTTTAGGGCCTAAGGCCATGCTATATAGCATAAATATAAACAAATCTGTTTAAACGATGTCATCTAACAGAACTGGATGAGAAGCATCAGTAACTCCTCTGAAAAATGTAGTAGTTTGAGAAAGGGATGGTTTGCTATCATGTAAACCATTATGTGAATGAGTACCAATTGTCACAGGCATTATATAGGACCTTTTCTTTTTGGGTATATACATTCATGTTGCCGAAAGCCTAGACCTAAAGATAGAATTAAAATGCAACTGTGAGTATGATTGCAATAATAATTACAGTTGAATTATTGATGTTTTTGTTAACCAAGTTAACCAAGATATATTTGATTAGCAGATATCACCATTAATTCTCTGCCAAACCTACTGGATCTCATGATCAAATTCACAGTAAATGAGCTACTGACTAATTCCAATATTTTTTAAAATAAGTTCTTCCGTTCCTGGAGGGCAATACAGGCTGAAGTTAGCCTTAATAAATGCCCAAGAAATATTACTGTTGTTCAGTTGGTCATTCTACAGGAATTATTCCTAAGAATTGCAAAATGGAACAGTGCATTTAAAATAATTCACAAGAAGTAAACACAGAATAAATACCAAGAAAGAGAATTGGGGAAAAAAATAATGAATACAAAGAAAGTAAAGCTTTGTTAGAATCAAATGTGTTCAGAAGGTAAGTGAGAAATGAAGTCTATTTTAACTTCCAGTCAGGGAACCTTACGTGGAACCTTACAGGGAACCTTACTCCTTTTAAAGTACCTGATGCCCTTTTGGTGCCTCCATGCAAGAGAGACTAGGAGATAAATATGTCTAAGCAAGGAGGTACTTGAGGTAAGTTCTAAATTAAGGAAATGAATACTTTGCTTTGCAAGCACTTGAGAAATAAGCACCATCAAAGAAAAGATTTTTATTTTTAATTACCTGTCTAGGAAATAGAAGGCATTTGTCATGTTTGAACATATCACACTATGATTTTGAGTACATTGCCTCCGTAATTTATTATTTGGACATTTCACAGAATGCATCCAAGCTGCTTTTGTTAATCCTATTATCTAGCAAATGCTGTTCACTGTGATACACTACATAGCAGTAATGGGTGGCAAGATCAGAAGACTCAAGGCCAAGTTTACACACACAATGTAGAAAAGACCTACTTCTCCAAGCCTGGAATTCTTTACATTGCAGACAGTTTCTAAATTGAACAAAGAAAAGTACAAGTAGGGTCCTCCTTATCAGTACCTATCTACAGAAAAGAGTGTACTGTATATACTATTGTCAAATACACAGCTTCATTATGGGCAAAATGGATATTAAGTTGTAAAGCTGAAAATCAACTATGAGAAAAAAAATTGCTCGGATGTTCCTCAGTTTAGAGTGCTACAGCACACGCGCGCACATATATGTGCACTTTTTTGTTGTTTTACAAATTGTAAAACAGGTTGGATGTGTACGTAACAGTGGGGAGACATGCATGTTCCAAGAGGTCGCAGAGACCTGGATTCAGAATTCACATGGTAGGAGACACCCAATAAGATGAAGGAGAGGCGGATACAAAACTCTCCTTCCCGCCCGCGCCATTTCAGTTTTCTAAAAGGTCCGCATTGCTGATATATAAGGAACTGCAGAGGGCGCTTTAAGAAGCTGGTTTTCAGCAAGGTTACACTATGTCTGGTCGTGGTAAGGGTGGCAAAGGCCTTGGGAAAGGCGGTGCTAAGCGCCACCGCAAAGTCCTTCGCGACAATATCCAGGGTATTACAAAACCCGCAATTAGGCGCCTGGCCCGCCGTGGCGGGGTCAAGCGCATCTCCGGCCTGATCTACGAGGAGACTCGCGGGGTACTGAAAGTGTTTCTGGAGAATGTGATTCGCGACGCCGTCACCTACACCGAGCACGCCAAGCGCAAGACTGTCACCGCCATGGACGTGGTCTACGCGCTCAAGCGCCAGGGCCGCACCCTCTACGGCTTCGGCGGCTAGGTTTGGCTGCTGGCATTTTTTTAACTGTTCTAAAGGCCCTTGTAAGGGCCACCCATTTAATCATAAAAGGCGCCTCACTTGTGTATTTTTGCAAACATGCTTGTATGGGTGATTTCAGGCGCTACAAGGACACTCGTGGGCCTTCCTGTAAGATGGAAGCGCCACTAAAGCTCCAGCTCTCCAAGTGAAACTGTAGGTGGCTCTTAAAAGAGCCTTTTGGTTTTACGGCTGGGACTGGTGCTAAGGAACGGAAATTTAAGCTCTCTCTCCGCGAATGCGGCGCGCTAGTTGGATGTCCTTCGGCATGATGGTCACACGCTTGGCATGGATGGCGCACAGATTAGTGTCCTCAAAGAGACCCACCAGGTAGGCCTCGCTGGCCTCCTGCAGCGCCATCACAGCGGAACTCTGGAAGCGCAGGTCGGTCTTGAAGTCCTGCGCGATCTCGCGCACCAGGCGCTGGAACGGCAGTTTGCGGATCAGAAGCTCCGTCGACTTCTGGTAGCGCCGGATCTCGCGCAGCGCCACGGTGCCGGGCCGGTAGCGGTGGGGCTTCTTCACGCCGCCGGTGGCCGGAGCGCTCTTGCGAGCGGCCTTGGTGGCCAGCTGCTTGCGGGGCGCCTTGCCACCGGTGGACTTGCGAGCGGTCTGCTTAGTACGAGCCATGAGGACGGTTAGAAAAAATTGGGGAATCTTTCTTTCTCATTAGTATTTATAAGGGCCAAGTCTTGCTGATTGGTCCGAATCTTCAAATTCCGCGCCATGCATATTTAGACAGGCCTGATGATTGGCTACCGGTCTCAAATTTTAAAAATATAGATCTATTGAAATGTTTGCTATCATCATGTATTATATGTATAGCTTGCTTTTCCTTCATTATTCTCTTGTAGAAAAAAGCGAAAGTTAACTTGTTAGGCATTGAAAAACCGCGCATTTGAAAGTAATTGTTTTCATTCATTGTAATACTTTTGGGACTTTTTTGTTTTTTATTTTTCATTTTATTTAATACTTTTTCTTTTTTTATTGTGAACATACTGTACAGATGGGTTACAGTAATTACATAGGCAAGATAATGAGTACAGTTCTTATCAAGCATTGTAGCCTCTTCCTTTGTTTACCCTTCACATCCCTTCCCAGTCTCCCCCCATCCCCCCACCCAATCCTCCCCCCCCACCAAAGTTGTAAAGTTCGCTTTCCACATGACAACTTTTTATTTAATACTTTTGTTTTTAAATGCTTTAGCAACATATTGCATAACTCTTGGACAACTGCGGTTTTTTCCCAGACGCTAAGCTCTTTACGAACATTTATAACTATACTGCCTTTGAATTGTGCAGAGATTTTGATCGTAAAGCTTTTACATTTAGTTTTCCCATATGTGACCAAAGTGCACAAGAATTAAGCCTTGGGCATTGAGATATCTGATTTCTGTATTCTATTTCTTAATTGTTCATAATTTTAAGCGGAAACAAACTCGGAATGAAGGTTTAAATTTGTATTTCGCTTTCCTTACTGTTAAGCTCTGAACCTGGAGACACAGACCTCATAACTTACATACCACTGTATTTTGGAACA